CCTCTGCTTACAGAAATCAAAATAGAGCAGTTCATCTTCGACAACTAATAATGCTCCCACTCCAAACCAAGGTAAAACAGACTCTAGTCTTATAGGGAAAAAACTAGTGATATATGGATTAGCAGAAAATATACAGGACGATAGAGTTGTACAAACTAAAAGGGGCAGTAATAGTGTGCTGCGATTGTTCAGAGATAGGATGGAACTTTAAAAAATTACTGTGAGCGAATGTTTTAGACTTGGTAAAGTTAAACATACAAATCAAGACCTCTTGTGTTTTACATTCCATCTCCTTGGCATCCAAAATTTGTTTTTGTGTCATTGAGAAAGCTAAAGAATTCGAATGTGTATATCAAGGAATTTATGAATTATGCGGACTGTCAGAACGAAAGGAAAAATCTGAAACATAGATACGATGTGAGTTCTTTGATGCAAAAAGAAAAACCAGAATTCAAAATAAAGGCTGGAAGCCTTGTTTTTGGCACGTACACAATTGACTGTCAGAAAGAGGTTCAATCTGAGTGGGATCGAATTCTTGGAAAAGAGAACTCTTATTCTTGACTACCAAATGACAATAAATTTTTGTCACTTAATTGCAGATCAATTGTAACAATTGAACGGAAAATCAAGCTTGACAATTTATTGCATATCCATCAACCTGACATTATTGCCCTAAGTGAAACATGGTTGGATAAACATGTTGAAAATACTGCAGTCTTCTGCACAGATGTATATGAAAAATTCACCGTTCTGATTGGAAATCTGGACCTCATAGAGGAGTCCTACTTGCGGTTGAAACATCATCTAAGTTAAATTTTATCGATGATTAATCAGTTATTTATGATTTTGGTTTATCTTTGTTTGTGAAGCTGAATAACTTGAAAATTTGCGTAACAGTCATTTACAATCCACCGCATGACATTCCTCATACTCTAAACGGATTATATTTGAAAAAAAATTTGAGTGAAGTGAGCAAACAACGCAACCTTCATATGGTAGAATCTAACTTGAACACAACGGATTTAATGCGGCGATCTGAACTTAACTTCAGTTGATTAGAATACTTTGTCAAGTGATGATCAACGTGAATCCAGTTTTTTGGATTCAATTGCGAAGTCCAATCTTGGTTCATTGACAGATAATGATGTTTTACAGCGAGACGTATTATTAACAGACAACCCTTTTTTAGGTAATCACTTCGAAATAAACCAAAACTTCACAGATCATCCTGCACTTTCCTGTCAAATAGCAGTTGAAACTGAAACAGAACATATCAATCTAAACCGTTACTGTATCCGTAAAGCAAACTCCGAATCATTGCTTTTGTTTTTCTTAAGCACTAGATTTCATTGCTCGAATGATGCAAATAAAAGGCTTGAAACGTTTTGTGGGTTGTAATTTTAAGCCGTTAATAAATATATTCCAAAAAAGACAATTTGTTGCTCTAAAGCTCACCATCGGATGTCATCACACTCAATAAAACTGAAAACCGCCTTCAGGTGGCATTGAAAAATACTTATTGTAACTCTTAATTATAAGAAAGTTATTCTACGAAAGTTAAACGCTGCAACCAAGAAATGAAAGATTCTTTAAAAGTAGACAAAGCCGTTTACTTTGAGTCAATGAAAGACTATGATTTAAAAAAACTTGCAAATTTCTCAGATCGATAAACGCAAAAGTACCCGAAAAAATTTCATACAAAAATACCAGTATGTTTTCTTGCATCTGTGTACAAAATAATTAACGGACCATTGAATGTTCCAAGCGAAAGTGTTTTTCCAGGAATATGCTTATCAGATATTTTCGTTTGGCAATTCGAAATTCTTAACGAATTGAGTAGATGCAAATCAGAAACCAGTTCAGTTGATGGTATATCACCTATCAAATTAATTTTCGTTTTAAGGTTCATTTTGAATGATATTGTTGAACTGTTCGATTGAATAGTCAGTAAAAAACAGTTTCCAGATATCTGCAAAATAGCACACATTAATCCTTCACAAAAAAAGTTTCTCGTATGAACATTGAAAACTACAGGCCAATTTCAAAACTTCCTGCCCTCGCCCTAATATTTGAACGAGTTTTAAATAACAAGATAAAAGGGTTCATTCAAAGAAAGTTGTGTAAAAACCAACATGGATTTAGAAAACATCATTCGACTGACAAACCTAATATTTTACTGTGATGATGTATACAAGAAATTAGAACAAGGAGATTGACCTCTCAAGCTATTTAAAGATATTGCAAAAGCTTTCGAATCTATTAGCCATAACATCATTTTATACAAGCTCTCCAAAATAGGCTTTGACTATGAGCTTCATAAATTTTTTGCATCATATCTCACAAACAGAAAACAAATACTTTTTCTTCGTAATACATTGTCTCATTCTCGCAATTTAACGAGTGGTGGTCCACGAGGATCCATTTTTGCAGATTTCTAGTTGTCTTTATATAAAAACGATGTGCCAGAAATTATTGACAACACTTCCTTTTTATATGCTGACGATACAAAAGTAATTGGAAATTGATTTGACCTTTCTTCGATTAAAACAGACTGTGTGGACCTGGTAATAACCTGGGCAGCAGAAAAAAGAATTGACCTCAATTTTGAGAAACTTGAACCAATTAGATTTCAAAAAACTAACGAGCGATATAATTTAAGCGATCTTTTATCTATTGATGGAGAACAAATAGTTTTAAAAGACAAGGTGTTTGGTGCAAGACCTTAGTGAAAAAAGTTTGAAAGACCTTGGTGTTTGGTGCAATTTCAAAATGTCATAGATATACCACATCACCGAAAAGCCTAAAAAGCAAACATGAAATTTAAAAACATCAGAAGAGTAGCTCTGTTCGGGTTTCGCTTTTTAAAAGTTGCTTACTATCAATAATTTTTTATGCATCTGATGTTTGGTTTGCGACTAAAAACCAATGTAAGTGAATAGAAAATTTAAACGACAATGTATAAATTGGTGCTAAAAAAACATGAATTGAATGATGAGGATTACATTTTTTACTTGGATAAAAGCAAACTGTAGCTAAATTAACTGACGTTTTTTAAAAACGATTTAATTTTGGTGACTGACATTCTTAATAACAAGTTGCCGATAAATTTTTCTCCATTTTTAGACAATTGACTATGGCCCATATTCAACTCGAAAAGGAAACAAGACGTTTTTGAGAATGCCATTGATAACACGGAGCAATCTTTGTAAATTTTTTTTTATCGAGTCGCAGAAATGTCAAACACCCTCGCGAGATCGAACAATTTGCCTGGCTATGATCCTTCTCAAGAACCTGTAATTTTTAGAAAGAATTTGAACCTGTTTTTGGTTGACAAACAACAAACATTTAAATACTCGATGTGTTCAGAGTCATGGTTTTTAGGTTTATTTTACTAACTTTGTTATCAATGACTAAGAGCAACTAATCCCCGCTTTGAGGGCTTAATTCAATATTATTATTGTTATGATTATTATCAATCAAAAGTCGAAATGTTTTGTGCTTTGCTTAGTTATTTGTCTGTTATGTTCTTAGTTATTTTTCGATTTTTTGAAAAAGAGTTTTCGAACGTCATTTTTAAACTATCTAAAGGACCTTTTATATGACTTCAAATCAAGAAATATTTCTTGCTCAAACTATTTGTGGAAAAATTCTGAAACTTTGAAAAAGTATTTTCTTATTATATACTTTTAGTGCATATTTTCATTGCGAAACTGGCGTTGAGATATGTTATTTTTAATTCCTTAATTTTATCAACATAACAATTTTCATGCAAAAAGTCTTTCGGTTTCTAGAGCAACTGGGTTGAAAGCGTTGAAAGGTGCCAAGAAACGAGCTCTTTTATTAGGGAGTTACATTGGAAAAAAGTAGAGCCATACTAATACAACTCTCCCTATGAGTAACTATGAGTAACTCTCGCATGAGTAACTATTTTGCTAGGTATTTTGATTTATCTCAACACGTTTAGATTGTCTGTTTTTTGTCTATTTTTCGTAGGAAATCGTGTTTTTTCGCATGAGTAACTATTTTGCTAGGTATTTTGATTTATCTCAACACGTTTAGATTGTCTGTTTTTTGTCTATTTTTCGTAGGAAATCGTGTTTTTTTGGAGTTTTCGTCAACGCCAATGAAATCGCAGTTTAGAAATTAAAAACATTAATCAATTTTTCCGCTCAGACGTCTAAAATCCAAATCTCTCACGTTTAAGTTAAATAGTTGTAAATACGGTTTTATAACGCCAAATTGTGTTATATTAGCTTGAAGACAATTCAGAATATCATTTATCAAAAACTGAGCCCAAATTTTTTTTATTTTTCAAATGACGCTGAGACACTATTTTTTGAACGACAATTTCAAGCCTCCTAGTAAACGCAAAGACTGACCTAAATGGAAAGTCGGTTTATAGCCTTTCTTATAGAACGGCTACAGTCGAAATCCCAATATATGATATTTTTTTATAACGTCAGGTGTTGCGATGCATCACCACGAGGGATTTGAGATATCATTTAATAGGTGTGCTTCATTTCATTTCAATTTTTTTGAACAGTTTAATGTGTTTTTAAAATCTTGATTATATATTTTGAAATCTAAATTCATCAGCGTGTTTTTTTTTGACATTGTTGTTTTGAAGGTAGTTTGTGGACCATCTGAAAAACATAGGCGCCCAAAGTTCCAATATAGAAGGATGCTTTTCTCTCAAATTATTGTTCGTCTAGTTGAGTGTTTGAATTGGGACAAACTAATTGTTACACATTACGCGATTAGATACCATTTAAACCATTTTGTACGTGGTTCAAGTTTCAAAAAATTGAGTTGAAATACTTTTTCGTAGTTTCCGAAGTTTTTCCTCCAAACTATAGTAGCTCCATTAAACGTAGTCAAATAATTCAACGCTTTGACTAGGTACAAATATTTTTTACTAGTTTTATTTCCTTTTTCCCTAAACTGATTCAAAAAAAATAGTCATACAAAAACGTAGTTTTTTCAAACTGAACTGGGTACTTAAAACGGCGATGCTTAAACTGCAATTCAAAATTCGTAATTAAATCTACAAAATAATAGAATACATGAAATTAAATAGTTACACTGCAGTCTCTATTTTGCCAGTTTCTATATTTTTCCCAGCATTTTGAATACTTTCAGATCGATTAGGATCGATTTCACTCGCGGACGAATTCGTTTTTGACGTTGACTGATTTGAAGCTGCTGAGTTGCTTTGATTCAAAACATCAGAAATTCTTTTCTGGCATAAATCTGAGGCATCTCGGCACAGTTTGCTAACCAACACGAAATTGAGAAACCCGTGAGGCAAACTCTCCAAGACGTCAAATGTAACATCATTATTCAACTTTTTCAATCGTTTCGCGAATACGACGCTTTCGTCTAGAAGGGGATCCATTGCACCACATAAGATACTTACTGGGGGCAGTTTTCGCAAATCCTCGTCACTTGCAATCAAGGGACAGTGTAGCGGGTTTTTAACATGCGGGTTTCTTATTGTGTCCAAAATTGCCTTTTTCTTTTTGGCCTTCAAAAACTTCAATTCATTTTCGAAGTCTACATATTGTTGGCTCTTTTCATTTGAACTTTGACCAGAGGTCGCACTTTTATTAGAACTTTTCGAAGCTTTTGAATCTATCGATAACGTTTCCAGGGGAACCGCAGCTGCCGGGGCAACTTGTCCAAACCAGTTACTGGTTGATTTAGCACCATGTGTAGCAGTTATTGAATCATCTTTACATGTGTTCACTCTATCAAAGGTATCTTCACTGCTCAAAATTACATGCGAATCCAAAGATGGTAAGCTAGATGACTTAGTGATACTAATTGATCTAGTTAACACTATATGATGACCTTTGCAATCAGTACTTAAGCTTTCATCGATGTCTTCATTATTTCCCAGGTTTCCGTGAGCAACAGCTGGTGCTTTATTAGCACGTCGAGTCATTTGCTTGAAACTCGATCCCAATTTATTCCGCGCTGCATTCGCGCGACTACTGATAAACCCCGGACTACTTGTCAAATTACTGCTACCGGGTACACCTATTGGATTATCGTTCGAACTTTTTCTCTGCTTTGATTTTTTCGTTTCGCTTTTTGTTGAATCTTTGGATGACCTTCTTGAGCCCAAAGGGGGTTCCAACAACTCACATTTCGCATTTGCACTTTCAGGGCCGTCATTTTTGTCAGACGCCTTCTTCGCCTCTGTTTTTTCATTCAAATGCTTCAATTGAGCTTCAACGTTTATCATTGGATCCGGGATCTTCGGTAGCGACCCCTTTCGAAGATCATGAGTCGGCTGCTCTGTGATGCAGTCTTGCTCTAGAGGACCAATCTGAGCAGTTGAATCATCGTCCACAATCTTGACTGCTTCTGCCGCTTCGAGTGTCTGGGAGGATTCACTGCTACACCTGGATATCGAGATCCAGTCTGAGTTTTCGACCATCTCCAGCTTGTACTCTTTCAAGATATCGTCTGATGACTCCAGTTCAGTGGGTTCTTTCGGCGATATTTCTCCATTCTTCTGATCATTTGGGCCACTCACTTGAAAACAAACAATGCTAAATGAATAAGCACTTCTGATTAGTAGAGCAAGAAACTACTACGAAAAAAAACAAGCAAAATCCAAAGCAGTTTAATCTATATATTCTCAATTCAAAGTTTTTATTTTCCACCTTACGATTTGGAACATTCGAATAGGTTAAAAACTTTTCAAATTGTTATCAAACTTACTCAAAAACTCTGCTTAACGGTCGGGATTTTGACAGGGTACAAAACTTGACAATCCTGCAGCCAAAAATCTGAATATACGTCCAATCGTAAAAAAAGACCATGGGCAATTTAGGCTTAGCCGGAAGCATTTTCTTAAATCAAGGGGGAGCGGTGGCGAGGTCAGCGGTGGTGAAGTGGTTACGTCTCCATCTCTCGATCAAACGGTCGAATGTTTGAGCCCCACCATGAGCCGTGCTCGTTTTTTGAGTGTGAGTCAACATTACCCAACCCAAAAAACGTCAATTTTCTTGTTTTCGATGCTTGAAAGTTAACCTTTCTTTTTGTTTAGCAGAAAATAACCTAAAATTCTAACGCTCAGGAAGATGATTAGAGCTTACTTGGGGTTGTTCCTTGCTTCTGTCTGTTGTTGCTGTCTGAGTTCGGCTTTCTCACCAGGCGGTACAGCCAGGACCCACATGCCAGAGTGGGTAACATAGCCAGGCCAGATCCGCCAGCGCCCATGCCAATTCCACTGACCGATGGCTCAGATAGCCTAACCAACAGACAAGTATCAGAACTACCAAATGCACAATTGCAAAGGTTCCGACTAGACAAAATTAAACAAAAAGAGCAGTCTGTGAAAATTTAAATGAGTTTCAAATACGATTTCAGTCAGAAAAAAAATTGGAAATAGCCGTTGCTCGTTTAAGTTGATTTTGCTTATCCATTTTTGCAACCGCACACAACAGAGAGTAAAGCAACAATTTAGCGTAAATAAACAAAGGTAATTAGTTAGCTCATCGTCAAGAGAAGAATTTACACAATCACACCATAGTTAGTTTACAGGTGGAGTTGGATGAAGAACTGTATTTGTGAGGACGCAACTTTCCACAGACAGTTTCAATTTTAAAAATGAAAAATAAAGCACACAGGAGAAGCTGAACTTTGCACCAATTGCCATACAACACAAAAATACCATGGCAGCGAAGCCACGAAAATAGGAGGGAAGTCACAGACTCGAAAAAAAACAAAGAAGCAACTAAAAACATCGAATAAATGTTCCGACCATTGAAAATGAGAGGAACTTTTTTTCGTGTGTTTCAGGTTTTTTCTTTTTTTCCCACGCAAAATCAGCCACCATAAATAATCATCGGACTTAGTTGAGTGATATATCATATTAAAGCCCTTACAGTCGTGATTCGAACCACATTAAAAAACTTTTATCCCAGTGTCGAGAAAAACCCGTTTGAAATTTTTGTCTTTTCATCTTATTTCGAGCGAATAAAGCTAGCGAGCGGTCTTATTTTAACTGCTTAAAAGCTTACAATAGCCTAATTTAAAAATAAAAACTTAGCTTAAAAATAAAATCAAAATTGCCAGAAGTTCAAAAAAAACTTTTTCAATTTGGTTATTTTATTATCGCTGTCGAATATACCTAATCTCCAGTTTTTTGTTCAGCTCCTTTTATCACACCACGCCTTAATTTGAAAAAAAAAACTTTTTTGTTGAATTTTTTAAGACAATGGTCGTAACATTCTGTGCTACTTGCACAGGAACCAGCTATGCGTGTTATTTTTTAAATTTGTCTCGAGAAGTTCAATTTGAGAAAAGATGCTCAGAAAAAAATTGTCAATATTAAATAATTTGAAAAACTAAATTTATCAAGCGGTTACTAAATAAAAAAAAATGGGGCAGACGATCGTTGAGACGAAAAAAATTTTGCCTTCAAAAGACAAATTATGAGGCATCTAAACAGATATAATATCAACTGAAACCATTTGAGCCGAATAAAACGTTAAAGCGAGCTAAAAAACGACAAATTTTAAGCGGAAAAAAAAAGAAATAAAAATTAACTTCCAACACAAAAAAAAATCGAATGCTCGAAAATAACTGTTGAGCAAACCTTCCATCAAAACAGATATGCGAACTGCTTCATGAGTGATTCAAATGATTTTGTTAAACTAGTTCTCAACCTGAAAAAAAATATATTCCGATTTGCTGACGCTTGCTCCTCGCAAGAGTAAAAAGCTGAGAACTGAATTAAAGTTCATTCAGATTAGTTAACAGCTCGAAGTTTCAAAAATCTCTTTCAAAGTTTCAACTGCAAATTAACCTCCTTCCAGACATCGAAGCTTTAGACAAAATTTTCCGCCTGAAATCAGCCCCCTAAGCAAAAAATGTGCCGGTCAGATAAGCATATGCGGAAAAAGAACAATTATAATAAGTTTATAGCAATCAGATGTTATTAAGCGGTTAGTTAATTTATTACCATTCGCTCAGATCGGTACTGGAACAAACATGCAAACATCACATCTCAACTATCAACAGTTCAAAGGTAAATTTTCATGTAATATTTAGTTATTTCAGATATCAGAACATAGCCAACAGACAGTTGGAAAAGAGTCAATGAACGCAAGTAAACAGAAAAAAATACTGAATTGTTTTTTGAAAAACCTTTCGAACTTAAAAAAAAAAATAGATCAATTTTTGATTTGCAGACAAAAAAGATCCAGAACACTTAATGCTTGGCACTTTTTGACAAAACTAACCCAATTTGCGAAAACTGAATCTATAAGAAAAATTTTCATTTCGCAGGGAAATATGAGAATTAATTCCATTTTCGAAACTAGAAGTCAATCACGTTTTTGTAACCTTCACACGTTTGCTGTTCGATAGTGGAGTCTGCCTTCCTTATTGCAAAGGAATTGAACTGAACTAAAAAAGAAATCAAAAGTCAAACAGCGCAAACGTAAATTTGAGCCTGAACCAGACTTTTCCTAAAAAGAACGAAACAAAAAAATCATCGCGACCAATATACGAGTTCATCTACGTTCATCGACTCTTAATAAACCGACAAGACATGTTACTTTTGAATCAAAATATATAGCAGACACAACATAATCTTTATCAATATCAATTTGAGATCATTTGAACAAAAAACAGCAACAAACTACATTTTTTTTGATATCCAAGATCTGACACGACGCGACACTTTCTTTCTAAAATATTTGTGATTACGGGTCAAAATCTGGGTGTATCTTATGTCGGTTTGGATAGTTTCTGATTCAAACGTTCCTATCCCTTGAAAATTAAAACATCTTTGGACTCTTTCTCTGTAAATATTAAAAGTTTTAGTATTTTGAGAATTTGTTGAATGGTTATCTTTTGCGGATCAGTGAGCGGTGTCCCGTAGTTCTCAGAAAAGATGTTTAACTCAATTACTTCTGATTCATGTGTTCATATTCCATGAGATTTTGGACCCTCATTTTGGACTCGCAAAATATATAACCAGTTTTTTAGGGTTATTTGGCAGAGCAAGAAAAGATGAGAGCCTAAACTTCCATGGAATAAGAACACATGAACCAGAAATGATTATTGAGTTGAAATATCCTTTCTGGGAACTTTTGGACACCACTCATTAATACGCAAAAATACAAAACAAATTTGCAAAAATACAAAAATACTTAGAAACCGTAGTATACCGTAAAATAGTGACGGTAAATGACCATGTCAGAATACTGTGAAAGGCAACGTTGAAAACTAATATCTTTTTTCTTTTATTGCTATATCAAATAATTCGTAAGAAAAACTTTTCAACAAGCATGTGCTTGGTTTGATCAAAACTCTCAAGCAATATTTCTGCAAGTCTTACCTGTACTCCCACTCTCCTTGATAGTGTTCCAAGACTCGACTTAATTTAAACGACGGCAACGGATCCTCCTCACCCAGATATGCAAGCAAACACTGGTCCAAGATCCCTACTGCCAGCAAACAGTCCATTACACTTAGAACTCGCGACGGGGACAGTGCGTACTGGGGAAACACCGCTGGATACACAGCCACGATTCCGTCCGGCTTCCGGATGTATGTCTGGATACACCTCAATGCAATTGCTAGAACCAAGTTCCCGCCCGCCGAGTCGCCGACTAAACATATCTTGGCCGATCTTTTGCAACCGAGCTTCTCCAAGTTGTTCAAAATCCAACAGTAACAGTAGAAAGATTCGTCAACAGCAGTCGGGAACGGATGCTCAGGCGCTAACGAATAGTCAATTGCTACGATTGGAATGTTGAGAGCTTTGGCCCACGATCTGAGATATATCTCGTGACTTCTCGACGACTGTGATACGAAACCTCCGCCATGACAGTGAATCACAATCGCGTCACTTAACGGTGCTATATTCGGATTTTTCTTCTTTTGAGCTTTCGTTGCGTTTGTTAGTGCCGCTGTGGCTTGACTTGTAACAGCGGATGTCATCGCGCCCATAGGGTTCACCAACGTCGCGGTAGTCGGAATCGGGTACCCTTGGAGAACTCCTGTAGCCGCTACTGCAACTTGGGTACCGCTAGTGGAAATGACGCTTGTTTCGGGAACCATTCCTTCTCTGGTGAGATATGATATAAGTCGCATAAAAAACGGTGGCGAGTTTTCGCCCTTTGATTCGGAGGTGTGAGGGTATGGCACTTCGACCGGTTCAAACATTTTTCCAGCTGATATCACCGGCGGCATCATGAAAAGAGTAGTTTTTTCCAATTCTATCACTCTGTTCACTTCTACCGAATTACATACCAAACTCGGTACATGTTGAATCATGTTTAGTTCCGTCAGACTCCAAAAAGATTTGCCAAAGCTCATATCACATAGCCTTGATAAAACATCCATTGCGTAACCTCTAAGTTTGTTATTCAAGTAGAACTTGCCGCCGGATAGAAACGCCGTGGCTTTACGTGCAAAGCCGTTCGATTCGTATAACTCTGCGTATGATAACTCTGATACGACTATGGCAAGTAAAGGGTTTACTAAACTCGGATCATAGTGGAATCCAATAGTTCGACCGTAAAACGGGGCTCTGGGTAGCTCCTCGAAGCTGTCATACAGCTCTTCGATTAACTTCTGTGGATGATTTTCCAGCGATATAATCAGATTGTTGCCCTGTATAAACAGTTCCTCGTTTGCAACGACAAAATCCAAACATTTTCCAAGTGCGCTCAAGCATTGCGCGTAAGCTTGTAAATCTCGAAGCGGGTTTTTAGTTTTCAGCAACGTGCTTTGGTAGTGATAACTGGTCACGTAATTAATCAACTCCTGTAGTCTCATAAGACATAGCTTGCAAATCCGACACAAGGACCAAAAACCATTGGCTCGTGTATTTTCATCGAAGTCAAATCTTGGCGCCAAATTGTCTTCAATGGTCACCAATTTTGAAACCATACTTTGAGAGGCTTCTTTGATAACTTCAAAGTTATCGGTGATGTTTGAAACATAGTCAGAATTCAGGTCTTCGCGGTCTAAAATGATATCAAGCTGATCTTTTGCTAAATCGGAGACCTCTTTGCATAAAACGGAAGCCTTCAAACGTTCCATAGCTCTTGTCGAACTCAATTTATCCCGTTTATTTTGACAGATTCGAATCGAGCTATATGTAGCTGATAGTCTAAATCCCCCATAAGAGTGAAATGTTCTTGACCTTTTCAGGAATTTGCGTCTTCGTTTTTTTCGTGAAAAAGCTTTAAGCTCAGAAACTAACCAAATTTTAGTCGCTGGTAACCGATTCAAAAATCTTGGATGCAAATTGTTATTGCTATACGATGAAGAGCTTTGTTTTTCACAATCAATAACTTCATTTTGTAACTTCGATGACTGGCAATCATGATGACGTAAATGAGATGCTTTTTTGTCGAAATCAAAATTTAAAAAGTCGTCAGTTTTTACGGAACATTCTGATAACTGTTCACTGCTTGTCGTTTCAAAATCGTAGCCGAAATTTCTGTTCCACGGCGGAAAGGAATCCGCTCTCTTTTCGAGATCCTTTCGCCTTCGGGAGAACTTGGCGAAGGAAACACTTTTCTGAAAATAGTCTGACCTTACTAAACTGTCTCGAAATGATGTCATTTCAACTTCCCCAAGCCGATTTAAATATAATGCAATTCAAATGCTTTTGATGTTAAAATTACGGTAATTTTCAGTCAAATAGGCAATTGTTCCTGACTGTGTGTGTCATATAAAATACAAAGCATAAATCAATCTCAACAAAAAGTTCTAGAAATGTCTTGGCGAGCAAAAGCTGGAAAACTGTCTTATTCTAATAGTTAATAATTTTAGTTAACAATCCTTTAACACAAACAAAAATTTAAAATTGTTCTTAAAAACTTTCTTTAGTTCAAAAATAATCTACAAATAAACAATGAATAGAATTAAAATTGACGATGAGGTTTATCATTTGAAGTTAGTTGCAAGTTCATCATGAGCAAAGTATCTATGATGCCCTGTTATTGATAAGCACGTGAGAAGATGAGCAGTTGTCAGAAGTCAAACAGCTAGCTATCATTTTTGAAAAGAGTAGACAACCTAAAAGCCTTCTTCTATTTTAAGAGACATGACAAGCAACAGATATTTCAAAATCTAAAAGCGAAAACTTGTCTTAAGAGCCTCAATTATTATATAAATCAATTTCTGTCAAATAAAATAACATTGAGATCAAAAAACTAATAGAGGCAATGAAACCCTGACATCACATATTTTAAGCAAAAACAAAGATTTAATGATGCTCCAAGTGTTTAATTTTGATCATATCTTCGATTTTAAATCGCTACGCTCCCCCAGTTATGGTTTGTTTTTCAATTTAATAAAAGCTGTAGCAGAGGGAAAAAAACATATTTTAAAACTCATTTCAAGCATATTAATTAGCTAGTTCCTTAAAAGAGTTCATTGGTGATAATGAGCAGGTGTCAAAAGTCAAACTGCGGTCTATAATTGTCTGAAAACTGCAGACAACCTAAAAGCTCTCTTCTATTTTGAGGCGCATGACAAGCAACCACATTTTCAAATTCAGCTGCCAAAAAAATCCTCAGAGCATAGATTTACTAGGAGGCCTAGGAAATGAGACAACAAATAAGACGAACGTACAAAAACATAATTTAGACGATAACTCTGTGAATTTAGACGACAAGACTTGGGCCAAAAAAAACTTTTGTTTACAATGAAGTTACACTAAAACAAAAAGAGTAGATGATCACAGAACTGATCAAAATAATTATTGTAAGTTAATTATTAAACATTAAATCGAAAAAGTAAATAACATTTTTGAAATGCATAGATTAAACAACAGTAACATTAATAACCTGATGTGTTATAAACAAAAATTAATTTAAGCCAGTAAACAAATATCACGCAATTTGCACGCAAGTTATCATCTAAATTCCGTTATTTTCTGATCGTCTGAGTTGCTTGTCGTCTAATTTCCTAAAACCCACTTACTAGTATAAACAATCCAATTTCTGTCATTGAATTATATCTGCAAGATCAAAATAATTGATTACCACAGATGTAAAGAAATCTTAAATCTTAAAATTTTTAAGCTTAAAAAAAGCATTAACTGAAGATGTAAATCACTTCTTTCGACAAAACCTTCAAATTTTAACCATTGCTAGCCCAATTTTGCCTTGAACAAGAAATTCCGATCACGAATGAAATCAAAATTGAGATCAAAATTGGAAAAAATTACCATATCAAAATATACGATTTTGGCTTGTTTTTTTGTAGTGATAAAATGCAGTAGCCAAAAAATGGCAGATTAAAACCAGCAGATTACACAACTTATACCAAGCATATCAATTAACTTATTTCTGGAAAGATGTCATCGTATAAATGAACAGAAAATATCCGCTCTTCGCTCTTGAGTCTGAAAAGCAAAAACCAATTTTTAGGAGTTGATTATTTTTAAAATCCGATTCACAACTGAAAAGGTAGTTATATGATACCTCAATTGACCGTTTTCAATGGGTTACTCAAAATCGCTGGAAAAATCAACTTTATGCCAGAGAGTTTTTTCCCATTCCTCCAAAAAAAAATTGTCAACTGGACATTTTCTAAATCTTACAATCAAGCATCAACACTACTAAAATAAAATTTTGGAAAAAACTATCGAGTAGATAACATTTGTTTTCGATATGAACTTTATCTTTATTATCACTGAGAAGAAGCACATTTGACACTTACTCCTCCAAAAAGGAAAAAATTGAAAAATATGCTGAAATCGGAGTTTGTAAATTTACAAGCAACATAACACATAGCCAATCGAAGATTGGAAAAGAGTAATGAGCGCAAGTTAACATAAAAAACACAGACTTTGTTGAAAAAATCTCAAATTTCGAATTTCAAAGAAAAAAATAGATGCCCCTTTAAGCTTTTTGAATTTCTAGAACGATTTATGATTGGCGCTTTTTGATAACATTAACCCAACTTGAGAAAACTGGATCAACCGGTAAAATATTTCGCTGGAAATCTAAAAACTTCACTTTCGAAATTAGAAATCGTTCACGAATTTTGGCGCCACTCGCACGTTCGAATTTGGAGAGTGCTATTTACATCGCCTTCAGCAAATGAATTTCAATTGAACTTAAAAAAGGCTTATATACCTAAATGTATCAATATTTTAAGATTTTCTTAAAAAGAACAAAAAAACCAGCAAGACCAATATAAGAGTCTTCACTACGTTCATTACTCTTATAAAAACAAAATTCGAATAGAATGGACATTCAAATACTTCTCTTGACCGACGAAAATACAGATTTGAAAAAATTATTCAGCGCAAAAATATCGCTCGATATTTTGGCAACAAGGTACTGCTCGTCGATTATCGCAGTCGCACGAAACAACTTTCTTAGCGAAGAACAAAATTCTTAATTGAATCTTCAATGATCTCACGAATTGGATCACACGCTCAATCTCTGTCCCTTTCTCCTATCCTTTTAGCTTAGGTGAAGTTTGTCTAATACGATAATCAATCAATCAGAACTTTTTTATTTCACAGAAAACACTCGACACATCAAAACAACAATTAAGCCAATTATAAAGCTAAAACGGATATATGCTACTTACCATTTTAAAAGCTTCAAAACGAAATTTCAATCAAGAAAGATGTGCGTTATCGCTCTTTAATTGAGCTGAAAATAGCTTCAAAATTGTTAATATCTGAAGAGTAACTTTTTCTTAAAATTTGACTCAAATCAACTTGTTTGAGTAAAGCAGACTATACTTTGCCTTTTAAGAACAGTTGTATCGAAACTATTTTGACACAAAATACAATAAATAATGATTCATATGATTGGTGAGTGGTATTTCGAAGTCCATTAAAAGTCTCGTGTCGAGATAGCTTCCTGTAATTGGTCGCTAACCTTTCAGTCGTCCAAAAGATACTCTCAGAAATTGATACCTGATTGTACACTTAATGCATCACAGCATGGTAGACAGCAAAGATCCGGAATCATTTTTCAACTGCGACACACGAACAATTTGTTTTTATCTCTCTAATTCCTGCCGCCGAAATCTCTATTTTTGGAAACCTTTTAATCGAAAAATTGATGGGCCATTATCTTTATTTCTCGAAACCTTTCAAATGAAAAATTGATGGTTTGAGTGAAAAATTAATCAAAACAAAATATGGCAGCTGATTAATTCATTAATTGAACGATGTCAAGGACAATGATTGCATAAGCTTGCATATAAGATGTCAGCATTGAGTCATTTTTTTGTTTCTTTAACACCCTTCAAAACCCATAAATGGAAAAAATCGACTTGCATCCTACTTCTATCCTTCAAACATAATTTTTGCAGAACTTTTTTTAGTAAAACTTACAAGCTTTTTTGCCAAGTTTCTAGAGGAAAAGCTCTTTCAAAAACTACCAAGCAGCTCTAAAAAAGGTAAAAAATGCAAAAAAAAATAATAAAATCAACTTCAACAGCTAACAAGACTGCTCTGAATGTTCCGACTGCATCTCAAGGTCTATAGAGCAGAGTTCGCCTGGAAAAGTTGACGAATTTCCTAGTAACGTAGCAATTATGGCAAATATCTTATTTCAACCAATTTGGAGAGATTTCTAATTTGTCCCAAACTGGTCATATTCGCAATCTTTTAACCAACTTTACTATAACAAATTGCAGGTGAATTTGAGCTCAGGATAACAATGGCTGGTTAAAAAGTCGAAACTTGTCTAGAGAAAAAAAAACAACACCTGGAGCACAAACATTCCGTCACTTTCTATCGAAAGTCGGAAGAACACTACTGCTCCCTGGACGTTTCCGACTTCCCTAGAGCTTCTTCCGTACTTATATTGGTACAGACAAATGGTTTAAATTTTCAGAAAAACAATTTTGGCAAACAATCCCCCACACACAAAGTCATAACAAAGAGATATGTTAATCATCAAGTACTTTTGAATTCAATTTGGAGTAATTTCTGAGCCACATTAATTTCTGCATTTCTTTGTATATGCACCACTATCTTCAAAGAGTATAAAAAAGGTCCCGCAAAAACGATTATTGCAATAAACTTTGCACACTAACTGCCCTAAATGGTGCGACTTCGGTTCGAGGAAAAAAACAGATTCTCAAGCTTTCTTGCATAATTACTGCAACGAATTCTTAAAAGTGAGAGAAAAAGTTTTACGTTATTCTACATTTAAATGTACTCAGCACTAAACATTAAATACTTATGACCTTAAATTTCAAATAAACTATACAAAAAAAACTTTCTAACAATATTTACAAATTTACAGCAAAAAAACTACATATTTTCAAAACTAAGCTGCAATATGGCACCACCTAAATTAAGCATCATATCTTCATAGCAAACTGTTTTTATTTTCTAAGATCAAAGCTAGTATAGTGTAGATAATCATTTTGATCTCTTTCTGATTGGTCAACTTCAGCACCGAGAATCGGCGTGGATTCCATTTCCAAACTATCATTTTGCTCTTCACTATTCGAAGTACCTTTGAAGTCCGGAATTATCTGTGCCACTAAACTTCTCAATTCGGCGCGACGATTAATGCGTTCACGTTCCGCTTTTTCGATTCCAGGAATCAAGCGCCACGCTTTCAGACACCTCTTACTGAGACGTTCTTCATTATGTTTTTCAGCTATTTCCAAATTCATCACGCTTTCAATTCGCCTCTGATCTGTAAACACAACCCACTGCTTGAAAAAGTTCTTTTTCAGAACTCTAGCGAAATGCCTTTCAGCTTTCAACATCAAAATATCAGATATCTGCTTGTATCTACGCCACGATTTGAAATGTCTTCTAATCAAAAAGTAACCGTTCAATTCTTCAGCCATGTTTTGTTTCAGCTCAGCCGAATTTTTTGCGTCTTGTCTCCACGCAGCAAAACAATTTCCGCATATTTTTTTAGCGAAGCAATTTTTTGCAAGAACTTCATTGCTTTCGGCTAATTTAACTAATCTTATCCATGGTTTGACGCCATAATATTTTACAAGTCGCTTTTCATTGAACTCATCTGCTTTCGCATTTAAAGCTTGTAACTTAGCGTTAGCTTCAGCCTTTTTACGTTCCAATTCTTTCTGCTGTAACAATTCCTGTCGTTTTTTTTCGGCCGCTACTCGCTTTTCTTCTAACAACTTTTGCTCCAAGTCCTCTTGCTCCAATTTTGCTAGTCTCAACTTTTCCTCTTCCCGTTTCCTTTTAATAGCTTCAAACTTCGCTCGTTTCTCCTGGCGAATTCGGTCACGCTCTTCCATCGCCGAAACAATCGGGTCATGTTTCACTGCAGATGCTGAAGTTGCTCGCGAAATAGTTGAGGAAACTTCCGAGCGACCCGACGGAACCTCCGAAGCTGCTGATGTCACACTGTTAGTATAGAGTGTTCCGCAAGGTTCAGAAACGTGATGTGGTGTTCCGCACAGATCATTTGCAAAAAAATCGCCTACTTTTTTGTTACTAACTAGTTGTTTTTGCAATTGGTTTATCACTTTCTGTTGGTCTTTCAAAATTTTCTCCTGCTGCTGAAGTTGTTTTTGTTGCGCAGTTTGCTTCTCGGTTAATTTTTCCTGCACTTGTTTTGCTGAATCATTAATAGCCTTTTTAGTTGATTGTCCAATTTGTTCAAGTTGCTCTATGGTCAAGTCAGATGCTATTCCTTTCCGTATTTGCCAGGGCATTGATGGAGTTTCAACTTTAAAATTGCCTCTCATTTTGGATCCTTCGCCTGAATTGTTCAGACGCGGTGTTGACGTTACAACGCCATTCGGTTTCGAGTTGAACATTTTGAAGATCTTTTCGCTTTTGAAGCTAGAACTATTAGATCTATTTGTAACTGTTCGCTGTGTTTTGTTTGTACTTCTGTGACCCGAATTCTCCAGAAACGCTACCGTATCTCCTAGCTCTGAGGAAAAATGTTCGTTTTCTTCGTTGTCGACACTGTTTTCATGCCACAATTTTCCACTTTTTGCAGCGTCTAAAAACTTTTCCAAACGTTCTTTACGATTTTCGGCTTCTTTTTGAATGTCAAGTTCTTCATGTGAAATTGTGACAAAGACTGTCCATCTGCTAAAACACTTTTTTAACAGACGAACTCTGTTGAATTCATTGGCCATTTTTTCAAAGTGTACAGATCGTTTCATATTAAGCTCATGTTTAACTGCCTCAACTTCGCACTGTTTTTGAACCGTTTTGTGTTTCCAAGTATTGTAAATCCTTGAAAGAAGACGCCATTCGCTTAAAGCAACAGCCTTGCCAATTTTCAGTCGCTGATCAATTATAAAGTTATACCAAGCATGAAAATGCTTCTGTAACACATGCATATTAATTTTCATCTCTTTAATTTTGACTTGTTCCATTCGTGCAGCTATTTTTCTCTTATTTTCCTCCCGGGTTTTTTCCAGCGCTAATTTCTCCATATTTTCTTTCTGCCTTTTACTTTCAAGCTTAAGTTTGTCTTTTTCAATTTCAGCCTGTCGTAAAGCGAAGTCCCGTTTCTGTTGTTCACGCATTACAGTTTGTTGTTCATGAATTTCACGCCTTATTTTTTCCATCTCCTCTTTGATCTTTTTTTCTTCAGCTGCTTTTTGCTCGATTTGTAATTTTTCTTCCTCGAGTAAAATTTTTCTTGCAGCCATTTCGGTTTCACGGCTGACTTCTTTTTCTTTCTTATTTGTATCTACTTTTTTCAGCCTTTCTTCCCGTTTTTTCACAATTTCTTGGTGTCTTAATTCCATTTTTGCGGCCAAGCCACCGCCTGTCGGCTGAGTTTTCTCATTCTTAAATCCTAAATTCTTCATGATGTGTTTATTTTGATCAAACTGTTTGTTCAAAATTCCGTCTAGAATTGAGTCGACTGTCATCAACTCGTACTTTTCTTCCAACTCGTTAAACTTTTTGTTCAATTCTGAATCTTTCGAAAACGAACTATCTAAAGCTCCATTATAGTTTGATGCTTGCGTATAATTACTATCACTTCCGAAATATCCATTCGATCTTGAATGAGAGTTGAATTGCTCATTTCCGAAAGTGTTGGCGACTGATTTCCGCTTGAAATCATATGAATCTAGATCTCCACCATTATCTGCTGATCCTGATAATCCACTTGAATTAGTAGCTCCAAACATTGTACTTCGTCTCGATTTTTTCACTTCATTTTCTTTGTCTTTCGATCTCGATTTAGAAGCAAATCCTGGCGATATTTCGTGTTTTGTAGACTTAAATCCATCGGGTCCGCCGTTAAACATAGCAAAATGAGATCCACGTTGATCTTCACGGAACAAATTTTCGGAACTTCGATCGAATTTCGAGTCAAAGCGGTTAGAGTTTTCGAGTTCTTCTAAATCTAATTGTTCGCATAGCTGGCGTTCTTCCTTTTCTCTGTCTACGTTTTCAGTCATCCACTGATTTAGCAAATCTTGCGCTGTTTTTTGGATCTCATCGTCGTCTATGTACACTTCAGGCTGATGATTATGCGATCCGAAACTCATACCACTGTTACGACTCTTGGCCTAAACACATGCAATGATTGTAGACGCAGCAAATTAAATAATCTAAAAATTATCCTTTTTTACCACTTGCACCTGCTTCTATGGGTGGGCGGAGGAGATATTCCCCTATGGCTCTTTGAATTTCACGAAAAATTTACGATTGGCACTTTTTTGATTGAGAAAACTGGATCAATAAGTAATTTATTTATTTCGCTGGGAAATCTAATAAACAAAGGACATTTGAAAAAACTAATAGAAAAAGGAAACCAAAAAATGGTTCATTGAAAATTTTTAAACATTTTTCAATTTTCGAACATTGAGAAAAATACAGCACGTTGAAGCACTAAGAATTTCAAATACAAATGCTAATTTTTATATATAACGAACGTTACTCGATCGCTTTGCTCGCTCGAAATTCGACTTAAACTCAAAAAATTGAAACCGGTTTATCTCGATACTGGAAAATTTTTTGTTGTTCAGATCACGACTGAAAAAGCTTCAAAATGATATATGATACTCGACCCATTCCGATGATTTTGTGAGCAACCTGATTTTGTAATGAAAACAAAAAACAGAAAGAAAAAAGTAAAACAAATCGGAATACAAATTTATTCTCCATTTTCAATGGTCGGAACAAAAATATCAATACGACCTAAACTATTGTCTTCATTTCGTTAACTGACTTTTTAAAATCTTACGCAGAAAACAAAAAACAGAAAAAAACTGTTTTTTGAAAACAAAAAACAGAAAGAAAAACAAAAAACACTGTTTTTTGAAAACAAAAACAAAAAACAGAAAAAAACTGTTTTTTGAAAACAAAAAACAGAAAGAAAAAAGAAAGTAAATTATTAGTTTTGAAAACATAGAAACTTCGCTGATGTGCGACTGTGGAGGACTACAATTGTTTTTCTTCAATTTTTTAATATATTTTTTTAGAAAAATCATATCACCTTAATATCTCTTCAATGAACAATTTATCAAAACAACACGCATCTGAAAAAAATAGTAAGTGATTTTTTTAAAGCTAAATGTTAATTGACAAGTACTCTATTTCAATATGCGCAACTTAAAAAACTATACGGCAGCTGATTAACCCTTAAAGTAACAATATCACTCAATTCGATTACTTGTGAATCAATTCAACCATTCTTCACTTTAAAAGCCAAGCTTTTCTCGAACTTTTTCACAGGAAATTTTTAATGCATCTTGATTTAAGACTGTAAGGGCTTTAGGGATCACGACTCTAGTTATCACACAACCCCATATGACGTTGATTCATGGTAGCTGGATTTACATGGGGAAAAAAACCTGAACCCAAAGTTGCGTCATAACTTCGGTGGTAGAGTCGTCAATTAACTATCCAATCCAAAAAACTCAAATGCGTTGGAATTTACTTGTTTTTTTATTATTATGATTACTATATTTGATAATTATTACTATACCGCTCAATATTTCCGGCTGAATTAAACGGCAGCTCCTTTTTAGCTCGGGCCGGTTTTTATCCATCAATCAAACTGATTTTTCTAAAATTCAACTAACCATGTAACTCGGAGGTTTCTTCCCACTAACTGTTGACACGGCGTAGTCTGTTGCCGCTGCTACCTTTTCGCACCACAATCGCGGGTCGTCCTTTTGATCTGCGTGTACAGACCGCAACCTCTCCTCGATTTCCGAATGCTTCTGGCTTGCTCGGCGCCATTTATACGAACTCATTCAAAAATACTGAAAATCATTCCCTAGCATATAAGTTAACAAGGTAAATTATGACAAATATCATCAAGCTGGGCAAAAAAAATACGTTTAACTATCAGCTGCACGAAAAAAATCAAATTCACCCTCCGTGTAAAGTTTTTGGCACGCAGCAACTACTTCATCGCCACACAGCTTCATTTTTCTGAACCGTTTCACTTCATAACTAATCAATAAATCAAAATGAACTTGTTTTCTAGCAACTTTAAGATGTAGATTTAAAATGATCGTCGATGAAAAGAGTATTTTCCAAAACTATACATTTTCAGATTTTTAAATCAGAAAATCCAAAATTTAATTTGACACAAAACAAAATTAACCATCTGACAATGCGTTTGGTAACGCAAATTCAACCAAACTAAATAATTTAGCAAAGTCTTCAATAAACATTATCTATTTATTTTTGAGATACAGAAAGCTCAAAAAATCACTTTATGAGAGAGTGCAATGTAACAAATAAATCGATTCATTTCAACTTGCGGATTGATTCGATCTGCTTTTTCCAAAACTCTTCTGGGTACTGTTTGACATTGGGGTCCCTGTGGATTATGACAGCTGGCAACTGTCCCGTGTAAGCAAAATTAGCCGAAATCTTTTCTTGAAAAGAGTCGGCTATGTACGAACATAGGTAGGTTGTGATTATTCTGTGACCTGAAACAACAACAACAGTTTAAATTCATGATAATACAGTGGCTACAACATGAAGCTTCCAAAGTATTAGACAATGGATGACTCAGCACTAACTATTTTGGTGCCAATGAAACAACTAAGCCTGAGAAAGCGAAAAAAGGCTACTCAAAAATGAAAATGTGAAAAATGGAATCTCAAATACAGTCAAATATGAAAATATATTCTAAATTACGCAATATTTGAAAATTAGCCAAAAAACAGTTGGAAAAGAGTCACGAACTCGAGGAAAACGAAAAAAATAGTGACTTTTTTTTGAAATTTCAAAGAGAATTTCGAAGATAAAGTTATACGACCTTAAAGTTAATTGTCTTTGAATTTCAAGATCACGTTTTCCTGAACTTTTCCATTTTTGCTGTTCGGTAGTGAAGTTTGGCTTCATTTAATCAAAAGAAACGAATTGAATACCAAAAGAAACCAAAACAAGAGAAATCAAATTTGAACAATTCCAAAAAGTAACAAAAAAAATCACCAGAAACTACAGTGCTGATTTAAATTATCCGGACAAATCGAACAAAACTTGAATTTTCAAACGAGTTTTTCTCAAATTGGGTTAAGATTAGACAAAAAGTGAAGAGAACAAAAGTTGCTTAGAATTTCACCAGAATTAATATGGTGCAATATGGTGCAGCTCAACAAAGTTTAAAAAGGGTTAAATCTCCAAAAATTTGCGCAAATTGTTTAAGATTTATTTTTAAACAGAGATTCTGGGTTTTATTTAGTCAAAATCACTATTGACTATCAAGTGAAAATTTTTTCTCTTTCACTGGTTTTTGGAGATTTAACCCTTCTTAAACTTTGTTGAACTAGCATCACTGTTGGTAACACTAAGACCTTATTTTTGTAGTTAAGTACAACTATTCGTTGCTTAAGAGTAGATAATTAGAGCCACTAAATATGCCTTACAATTATCTTTTCCATCATCAATGTTGTATTATGATAGAAATTTTGTTGATTGATATAGTAATTTATATATGGGGATATAAATTATCTTTCTTTCTGTCTTTCGTTCTTTTTTTTCTTATTATATTGACTAATTTCTTTGAGCACTCGAAAACCCTTTAGCACCAAGAAATACAACGTCGGACAAAAGCATGTCGGATATTTCCTACTCAAATCAAAAAGAGATACGTGTAATCATTTTATAAAACTTGATTTCGTGTGTCGAACCAAATTTCCAAAATTATTATTAAGTGATTTTACAATTTCTTACAGAAGGCCACAACGACCTTTGAAAACATGTTCTAAGCGTAAAATGACTAGTTTTTGATATCCATTTTATGAAAATTTTTTAAAGCAACTATTTTCGAATAATTGTTTACTACAAGCTAAACTTTCAGTTGTCTACGTATTGCATGCAATTGAGCAACACAGTCTGTTGGAAGGATTCATCAGAGTCACAACAAAACGTCTTTTTTCACTCTGAGGGAATTATGCCTTTTTTCTACATACAACCGTACATATATGATTATTCTGATAAGCGTTGCACGCGAAATGACTACTACAACCCTAAGACAATTAGGCAGTCAGATTAGAAACACAGAGGGTAAGCTGCGCTTTGCAACCACTTGCGAGAACACGACCAACAAGCAGGTCTATCACGTGACATAAGAAAAGGAAATGAGCCTCGAAAAAAAACTCGGCTACTAGTCGGATTCCAATCTGCCACCAAGAAAATTTGAGTCTCACGCACCAACCACTCAGCCACAGATGCTTTAAATCTATAAACTAGCAACCAATAACATAGCTACATATGCTAAGAAATTGGATGAAGCAAAATTAGGACCAAATACAAAAAGACACAATTTGCATAAAATAAATCGCAAAGCATAGACCCACATTATGTATAACTTATGCATTCCATAAAAATGCGAGATATATTGAGTTAGAAATTTCGGAACTCGAGTTTCTATTAATGTTATGTTGTTTGAAACAAACCTTTTTTTCCGGATCATTTGATGAATTAAAAATGCATCAACTGTGTAAACTGGTTGCTATTCGAATGTCAAAGCACATGTTGTCAATAAGCTGTTAAGTTGCTCTAAAAGAGGCGTCAATATTCGCGATTTAGGTTGGAAAAAATGAAAGTTCGTACTGATACACTTTGCTTCGCAAATGTAAAAACACAAACAAATAATTAGTCATTTTGAAAAAAAAAACTACTTTTTGGAAAACAAAACACCGTCTTATTGAGTTGTGGCATCGAACACGTAGACATGATGCCAACAGTAAGACGTACTCGACAAAAATTAAGAATAGGCGACTGAACCTCAAACACTTAGCGACAAACACATTTCGCAGGGAAGAGTTACCGAGAAACATATTTCGGCAGGGTATATATCACCATCTGTCAATTATCTGAATCAAAAGTACTTCCTCTGGTTGCTTAACGACACGAGCGACTCCCTCTAAACCAATAATATCAAGGAACACCAGTTTGCGAGAGAGAGAGAAAACACTTTATTGTTGCATAATTTCTTGCAGTTACAAAACTGATTGTGGATGGAACAAGTGTACATTATTATTAAATACGTGAATAAAATAATGCATGTAGATAGGAATGACCTACGAAGAAAATCGGTTTTACACAATCTTGGTTGCTATTTAAATGTCAAAGCATATGTTGTCAATAAGCTGTAAAGGTGCCCTAAAAGAGGTAACTTTCATTTTTTCCAACCTTGGTCGCAAATATTGATACCTCTTTAAGGGCACCTTTACAGCTTATTGACAACATATGCTCAATTTCACAACGAAATGTTAGAAATTTCTGAACTCGATTTTCTATTATTGTTATGTTGTTTGAAACAAATAGTTTTTTTTCGGTTCATTTGATGAATTAAATAAGCATAAACTGTGTAAACTGGTTGCTATTCGAATGTCAAAGCGCATGTTGTCAATAAGCTGTTAAGGTGCCCTAAAATAGGAGTCAAAATTGGCGACTTAGGTTGGAAAAAACTGAAAGTTCGTACTAATACACTTTTCTTCGCAAATGTAAAAACACAAACAAATAATGAGTCATTTTGAAAAAAAAACAGCTACTTTTTGGAAAACACAAACACTGTCTTATCGAGTTGTGGCATCGAAGACGTAGACATGATGCCAACAGTAAGACAAACTCGACAAAAATCAAGAATAGGTGACTGAACCTCGAACACTTAGCGACAAACACATTTCGTTGTGAGAAACATGTTTCGGCAGGGTATATATCACCATCTGTCAATTATCTTAATCAAAAGTACTTCCTCTGGTTGCTTAACGACACGAGCGACTCCCTCTAAACCAATAACATCAAGGAACACCAGTTTGCGAGAGAGAGAGAAAACACTTTGTTGCATAATTTCTTGCAGTTACAAAACTGATTGTGGATGGAACAAGTGTACATTATTAGTAAATACGTGAATAAAATAATGTTTCATCAGTTACTGAATCCATAAGATTATTCAAGACACTCCTTAAGACGTAAGGGGGAAAATGAGTGTTGGTAGAGTCTACCCGTTATGTATTAGAATTTATCTTCTATTATGCAATTTTGAATCAATTTGTTTGATAGCGTACAGGTTTTCTTCATAGAAATGATTTTTTGAATTACCAAGTTAAAATTTTTTATTGATGTAAATAGGAATGACCTACGAAGAAAATCGGTTTTACACAATCCTGGTTGCTATTCGAATGTCAAAGCATATGCTGTCAATAAGCTAAACAGGTGCCCTAAAAGAGGTATCAATATTTGCGACCAAGGTTGGAAAAAATGAAAGTTGAGTTAGAAATTTCTGAACTCGATTTTCTATTATTGTTATGTTGTTTGAAACAAATGGTTTTTTTTCGGTTCATTTAATGAATTAAATAAGCATCAACTGTGTAAACTGGTTGCTATTCGAATGTCAAAGCACATGTTGTCAATAAGCTGTTAAGGTGCTCTAAAAGAGGCGTCAATATTCGCGACTTAGGTTGGAAAAAATGAAAGTTCGTACTGATACACTTTGCTTCGCAAATGTAAAAACACAAACAAATAATTAGTCATTTTGAAAAAAAAACTACTTTTTGGAAAACAAAACATTGTCTTATCGAGTTGTGGCATCGAAGACGTAGACATGATGCCAACAGTAAGACAAACTCGACAAAAATCAAGAATAGGTGACTGAACCTCAAACACTTAGCGACAAACACATTTCGCAGGGAAGAGTTAGCGAGAAACATATTTCGGCAGGGTATATATCACCATCTGTCAATTATCTGAATCAAAAGTACTTCCTCTGGTTGCTTAACGACACGAGCGACTCCCTCTAAACCAATAATATCAAGGAACACCAGTTTGCGAGAGAGAGAGAAAACACTTAATTGTTGCATAATTTCTTGCAGTTACAAAACTGATTGTGGATGGAACAAGTGTACATTTTTATTAAATACGTGAATAAAATAATGTTTCATCAGTTACTGAATCCATAAGATTATTCAAGACACTCCTTAAGAAGTAAGGGGGAAAATGAGTGTTGGTAGAGTCTACCCGTTATGTATTAAAATTTGTCTTCTATTATGCAATTTTGAATCAATTTGTTTGATAGCGTACAGGTTTTCTTCATGGAAATGATTTTTTGAATTACCAAGTTAAAATTTTTTATTGATGTAAATAGGAATGACCTACGAAGAAAATAGGTTTTACACAATCCTGGTTGCTATTCGAATGTCAAAGCATATGCTGTCAGTAAGCTGTACAGGTGCCCTAAAAGAGGTAACAATATTTGCGACCAAGGTTGGAAAAAATGAAAGTTGAGTTAGAAATTTCTGAACTCGATTTTCTATTATTGTTATGTTGTTTGAAACAAATAGTTTTTTTTCGGTTCATTTGATGAGTTAAATAAGCATCAACTGTGTAAACTGGATGCTATTCGAATGTCAAAGCACATGTTGTGAATAAGCTGTTAAGGTGCCCTAAAAGAGGTATCAATATTTGCGACCAAGGTTGG